CTACTAAAGTGGTGAGCCAATTTAAAATCGTTAGTTTCGTATTGATTGTTGGTATGGCCCTTCTGAAGATCCGGAACATCTATAAAAGTGATCAATTCATGAAACTGATTCTAGAGCTTTATGTTTTCTTTTAAACCGTTCATGGACGTCTTATTAGAATGAATTCGAAGTTGTGACCTGAATATGGACCCAGGGGACCACGGAATGGTCCACCAGAAGATCCGGAACATCCTTGGAAAATTCATGAAACGGATTCTACAGCTCAATGACGTAAAACTCCACTTTTTCATGTCATTTTTTTATTGTACCATGTCTCCCTCTGGACTAAGTATCCCCACCCTTGCCTGCATTAAGGTCTAGCTCAAAGGACTAATACATTAACATCTTGATGATGAAGTCTGTTGGTTTGGACGGCCTAGATTTCAGAATTTATTGTTTAAAGAAAAACGATATAAGACGAACAAGCCTTTTATTATTGCTCATCTCCCTTCAGTTTCCAAAGGTGTTCAGTCAAGTCGTTTTGTAGCTGGTTATGAAGAAATGTATCATGAACTTTATCGAAACGTGCTAGAAATGCTCCAAAGTCTACTTCACCCGTCGATAGAACAGGATTGGTATTGGCCGAAGTGTTGCCATCAAATGGCGTTGAACAATCTCGCTGATCTCCAATAATCATTTTGTGGAGAATAATGCAAGTGCGCATGATTGATCCCTCTCCATGGACATGGAGGTTGACGGTACTGAAGCAAAGGGTTATGTTTAATTTCTTTACATTTGCAACGATGATGATTTCCTATAGTGACACATATCACCTTCTTAATGCTTCAGTATACCTCAAACGATTAATTCTTGGTTGTTAATAGAACTTCCTTGATGCAATCGGCTGCTTCATGCAGACTGAGCAATTCTGATTATAGTATCAGATTTGTTCTGTATACAGAGGAACTGGGAGGGCTTATTAGAAACTTCTCACCAATAAAGTAATGATCTTCTAGTAAATTTTGCATATCATTTTATTAAAATTTTATTTAATTTTAGCATATTATTTTTGTTACAGCCAATTGGCATTAGTATACGATACAAAAGATTTAATATTACTTGCTCGTTTTTTCGTAAAATAATCAATATTTATTTTACTTGTAATTACCTATGAAAGTTTTTTTCAAGTTTTTTTTTTGTGATCTGAAAATTTACCCAGTTTGGTTAGAAGTTTCGAAGCTAACGCATGTCCACAGGCCTAATAGAAAGGTAGGCAGGCTTCCACTCACTTGCTATAGATGAGTGATTTTCGGAGTTTTGAATTCGTTAAATGTTGTAATGGAGATTTGTGCTGTTGGATGCTGGAGAAGATTGGAGGGCGGGTGTTTGACGCATAGAGCCTGTCAATTTCGCTTTCAGAGTGTCGCAGTCAGCGGTTTTATGATTCGTGAGCGCTTACGATTCGTAGAATCGTTGATTGTGACTGCAAGTGGATTTTACGGGTTTTGTGTGTCGGACGCTTGCTTTTTGGCCTCTTCTTGTGTCTAACATGTGCAGAGTATCATTATAACGTCTAATGGTTTTGAGATTCCTGGTGGCGTGAAATATATTTGTGAGAATATCTTTTTGAGATTTTAGCAGTCACGTTTTGTTTGTAGTTTATATTTTATTTATTTCATTTAATTATCGTAAATATTAGTTATTCAATAATAGATAGTTCATGCATATATTCGTACTTTGACGCGAAGCGCTGTGGATTATAAGATGCTCGATGACCCTCGAGGGATCGATTTTGCTTACTGAGCAGAAAATCATGGATTGAACCCCAAGCTCTTCCACAGCACAATAAATCGTCCACCATTTGTATATTTGATATTGAACATTAACCTCGGAAACTATTTGCATATCAAGCGAAAACGTAGTCCAGTATTGTCGCGAAGCGTTATGGTTCTGAGATGCTCGATGACCCTGGAGGGATCGTTTTTGCTTACTGAGCAGAAAATCATGGGTTTAATCCCAAGCTCTCCGTCATGACTCTTAAAATTCATTATCACTAAACAAAATTAATATGTTCTTTCGATAGCCGGCTATCGAGAGATTAAATAAACAACAAATAAACAATACATACTTTTGGTTGCATCGCCAACTTGAGGTGAATCCTAACCGAATACCCTACCCAACCCTCCAACTCCGTAGCACTTATGAGGGTGTCGCTAAGTCGGTGGCCTCTCGTTAAGTAAGTACTACATCAGCATTTCCTTCCCTATCCCAAGTTATGGTAAAGATGGGCGTGGCCGGGAATAGCGACAGTCATGCTTCTGTTACTCTTGTTTAGATTGGAACCAATGTTTATTTCCCAGCATTATTCCTGAAAGTAGTCTAACTGAGAATTTCAGAAGAGACGTGAGTGTCGCTAGTATCCAATCTACGAAGTATATCATAACAACGCTAACGCTAACGCTAACGCTAACGCTAACGCTAACGCTAACGCTAACGCTAACGCTAATAATGCAAGTGCGCATGATTGATCCCAACTCTTTCTTATTCCAGAGTCTGGCAGGGTTTTTAATAATTTCAAATCGACTAGTCAGTACTCCAAAGTGCGTTCTACATCTTTTCTCGCGGATTCCTGCAATTTCAGCGAAGTGCTATGTTGAAAAGAAACAATAAATTAAAAAATTAAATATAAGCAATGAAAATTTAACACCCATATTCTCGTTTTCGTTCGAACCCTTTTTCCACACAAAAAAAATGGTATACGATTCGAACGAAAGCAAGAATATGTATATCTACATACCTTTCGTTTGAACGGCGCCGGTGGTGTAGTGGTAAGCGTGATTACCTCTCACCCCAGCAGGCCTGGGTTCAATCCCAGTCGGCGCCGCCGGGATGTTCTGAGGCATAACATCTCTGATCACGCCTTCCTTCGGATGGGAAGTAAAACCGTTGGTCCCCGGTTCATGAGTTGATGAGTCGATAGGTAGAGTCCAGGTGTGGGAGCTGCCTTCCTGGCACGTCGGTAGCATTGGTGCTCAGCACGGAAAACAAGATCGACGGAAAAAACAAACCAAAGGAAAAAAAAAAAAAATACCTTTCGTTTATTGCCAACGGGTGATGGAATCGTTTGAACCAACGTGGACAATGGTGGATAAATTCCATCGGCCAGGTAGTGTCCTGTGTTGTAGATGTGACCGTTAATTACATACTCCACAGGAGGAGCTTTTCCACTGTAAATATCGGAAAACAACGTAAATCTTTGCATCTGGCTTTTGGATGAAATATTCGTTCCGCTCCAATGCTTTCGCAATACGCAAGAACAAACACCTACGCATACGAAAGCGTCTTCGGAACTGTTCGCTCGTATATACTGGTTCTTCTGCAAAATAGTCGTCCAATAGCCGTTGAGCTCCTTTCTCCGCAAACCTGTTTATGTTTGGTCGTTTTCCAGGACGAGATCCTCTATGTTTTTCCCCTGATTTTGCTGCTGCCGTTGAAAGTGCATGAAACAATAGCTGCTGGGCGAATACAAGTTCGTAGAATTCATCGTCACTCGAGTCCACAAAAATTTTAGAATCATCCATTGCAATCAAATATTTACTACACTTCAAGCTGAACAATGCATTAGGTCCTAAGTAACATTGACCGATTCTCTTCGTTGACTTTCTCTTTGTATCACCACGACCATGTAAAAACATTCACAGCTATTTTCAGCACACAGATCGATAAAAAAGCAGCTAATATGACAAACTCAACAAGAAACGGTTTTGTGCTCAAGTTATTAACGAAAGAGAAAGTCGACGAAGAGAATCGATCAATGCTACTTAGAACATAATGCAATGTTGAGCTTGAATTGTTATTATCGTTTGTTTTTACTACGATGCGAAGTAACTAGATTGACAACCACTGGTGTGGAAACAGAGAGGTACTTTGGAAACCCTTTTATCAACGACCGGTGCAAAAATGGGTAGTTAAATATAATAGCAACGCCTTGCGTACTCATAATAGACACGCATTTACTTATGCACTGGTGCGCTTGGTCTTAGGCTGTGTTCCATTTGGTGAATTTTCACTTAAACTTGACAGATGGAAAATTTTCAAATAAACCTGCTATTCCAGCAGACTTATATCTGACAGACAAGGAATCAATTTTGACACACACCTTCTCGAAAATTGGCCGATCAACAACAGAGGGATTTTCGAACATTATAATTTAGTTTCGAAGTGTCAAATTTAAGTGAAAATTCACCAAATGGACCACAGCCTTAGTACTCGCTTCGGTCCCAAGTTAATCGATGCACCCCTCGAAACATAGGAAAATCCACGAACCCCCCATACTTTCATAGCGAATCAAAACAAACATAGTGTAGTGGGGTACGTTGATCGTTTGCTTGGGACCAATAGACTAGTCAAGTAGTAAACCAATTTGAAATCGTTAGTTTCCACCGGTTGACAGTACGAAGTCCCCCATGTTTCACCTGGGGGGGGACGTGCTGTCAAATCAGCCTACTGATCATTCTTGTATGAAACTGGCTCCAAACGTAAACAATCGCTGTAGGTTTCTTATGGCTTGTTTACGTTTGGAACCAGTTATGCGAGGCATGCGAGGTAGGCGACGATTGTTCGTATTTGACAGCCACCTCCCCCCCTTGTGTTTCACGCACAGTCTGAGGTTTGCTTATGGATTTTACCATATGAGTAAAGAGCTACAGAGTTGCCGTCAACGCCAATAGGTGTGAAGAGTGTGCTTTGTTTTATTGACGGGTCAGTTGCCTTTATCACTTATTAAAAATGGTTTCAGTAAAAAGGGGTGACCAGTCATGCGTGACAATTACAAAGACTAGCACATGTTCCATTACTACGTAAATATCAACATCAAAAACAAACATTCAACAGGTTACCGAAAACGATGTGACATGCGCAAACGGTTTCTATGGAAACACGTATCGACAAACAATTAGCAATATTTTTCATTAACCGTTGCAAAAAAAAAGCCTAAGCCCAAGACAATTTTATTGAAAATTCCGTACAAAATGAACCTTGATCGTTTCACTTTGATCTCCAACGACGTCGTGGAGTTTAAATCCACGTGGCGTACAGGCGAAGCGTTGGCTCTAGTGGATACCATGATTGGTACCGATCAACCGGCACCGACAGTCGACGCCGCAACGGCACCCATTGAACGAAAAGATGTTGCGGTCAGTGTTCTACTCCTACTAAATATGGCTTTTAAAAATCCAATTAACCAAAGAAAATTTCAGATTCAAACCGGAGGATCTCCACGGCATGCCCCAGTCACATGCGATGATGCAAAACTGTCCAATTGGTTGCGAAAAGTGTACCCAATGGTCGAGCAAGAGCTATCGGCAGGCGTTACAGAGTGCTACGACGACAACGATAACTTGTGCGATACTACAGAAAGATTAATCATTCGAAAGCACCAAGAGCTGATGCTGAAAAAGTTGAATCCAGATATGGAGGGCAACCAGAAACTTAACATGGGTGCCGCTGCATGGCTTTCGATCGCAACGCGCGACGCTCCCCTACTGGTACTGGCGTGCAGTTCGTACCACGAAGCTTGGTGTGAACATACGTATTCTTCCGTTACCGTTTTTACTCCACGGCGAGACTCGTACGGTTCAGTCCAGTGGATTGAACTGTGTACCAACCCGGTGAAGGCATGCATTGAAACGTTGGAAACAAATCCGTTTAACAAGGACATGTTCGCCGGTGGTACGGTTTCCGGTGACGTGTACATTTGGCACTACGAGTTGAATTTGAAGCATGAGCAGAACTCATTTTCGGAACTGTTCTCCGAAACTACGGACTACGGAAAGGTGGTGGACATGGCTTGGATTAAACCGAATCCTTTAACCAAAGATTTTGGCTTGCTTTCGGGTCACAACGACGGGATTGTAATTCTCTGGAAAATTGGGAAACACATTGGCAAAGATAAGACGTAATATGTTCAGCTTGAAAAGTTCTGGCAGAAATTTTAAGATCATTTTTCTTTGACAGATTTCGCATATCGACGACTGCTACATCGCGGAAGGCCATAATATTGACGCAAATTTTAACCATTTCCAATTCGGAGTTTGTAGTCGGCACCGTTGATGGTAGCATTCTACTTTGCTCGACAACTCAGCTGATACCGATCGGTAACGGTTCGAACGGAGGAACTTCGGGAGCATCCACCTCTAGCAGCAAGAAAAACTTCTTCGCCCCGACCATAACCGAACTCAAGCCGCACTCGTTTGCGGTTACCACTCTGCTCAAGATGGAAAACTCCAGGCAACAGTTCCTGATCAGTTGTGATCTGACTGGCGAAGTGTTCTTCCACGATATTACGGATGCTATTGTATGGTTTGAAATTTTGATTAATATGTAGTTTAGTTTACCTTTTTTTTCAATTTGTAGAACTCGGCTCCAACGTTGATCATTAAAATGCCTCTTCCGTTTAAAAATCGTATCGTTTGCACAGACGACATGCGTTTTATTCTGAGTCCTAACAATAATGGAATATTGGATGTTTATAAAATCGATAGTGGCTCACAGGAGATTGTCGAAGGGAGTGGCTTGAACGGAAAGCCCAGTCTGATCAGAACAAGCGCAAATGGGTAAAGACTTTTTTTGTTTAGTTAAAATGCTTCAAGAGTTTGTTCAATATCTATCTTCCAGGAAATGGCTTATAACGGGACCTTACGATGGAGGCTTCATCATTTACTCAGTCGAGAAGGATGTTTGAGGATTAAGAAAAATTATGACAAAACATTTGGATTCCAATAGAATTCGCGCAAAGCGCTCAATTTAGCCTAAATAAATAGTTGGTATCACTATTGCGCATGGCGCACATTATTTATGTATTTATTTATTGTTTCAATGATTCATCTGACATATGGTTGTCTTAATGAATTAAAAAAACTAGAAGTTTTGTGCCTAGGGGCACAAACGGAAGCTTGACGTAGGACCATAGAGGTTACTCTAAGACCAGAAGGTCCCGAAGAAACGCTCTCAACTTTTTGGCTCAGCTCTGGTACTCTTTTCGGTCCCAAGCTAATCGATGCACCCCTCGAAACATAGGAAAAACCAATAACCCCTCATTTTATCTGTCAAACTTTCATAGCGAATCAAAACAAACATTGCGTAGTACTAGAATTTCTACTAGAATGGGGTACGTTAATCGTTTGCTTGGGACCAATAGGCTAGTCAAGTAGTGAGCCAATTTAAAATCGTTAGTTTCGGATTGATTGTTGGTATTTCATTCAGTTTAATCCTGTACAAAACCTAAAAAACTATTGTGATAGGGTAGAGCGCTACTTCGTCGTAATCGCCCATTTCCGTTCTATCGATCCGAAAAGATCAATAATATCAATGATTTCACCGTGCACAAATCAATAATAGGTTTGTTCCGATGCGTTAGTTCATTAGCTACAACATAAATCCTGTTAGAGTGCATTGTATGAATATTTACGCTCATTGTTCTCAAAACAAAAGAAGCGCTCCTAGCGAATCCCCTTTTTCTACGTTTATCCGTAGGATGAAGAAAATCTAATGGCGTTTCAATGCGTTAGGACGGAATTGAAACTCGTAGAACGGATTTAGAATCAAGAAGCAGTGTTAGATTTTATACAATATCTCAACAATTTGTGACTCTTTATCAAATCCAACGGTACGTATGGAAAGGTGAATAAATTTGCAAGTCATCTTTGACAGAAATATTCCATTTTTTGTCTAAACTCGTTCAGAAAAGAGAGGTAAAGCGCGGGTTGTGCTTAGTAGGACGGAAATTAGATCAAAAACCCTATGTGTCTATCCTAAAATTAAAAATTACTAGTTTTCAAATAAAATTTCAAAAACATGCTAAGATTATGGACATGGTTATGTTAACAGCCATACCACATCGATTAATGTTGATATGGAGACACCATAAAAAAAATGTTATGGTTAATTTACTTAACGACGTGTTCAAGGTATCATCCAAACCATTTGTGGAATAGTTCAGGGTTATCGTTCGTTTATGGTAATTTTTTATTAGGGCGTGACTAACCAAATTAAATAAAAATAGAAGAGCCTCTTTGTAAAATGTATTCCAATGCAGGCACCCGATGCTGATGCTGGTTGTTGGTTTAATACGGTAGGATTGTATTCGGATACGATTTGCAACCATCGATCGATGCATGCAGGGATTTAGTTGGTTGTATCATGTTTGTTCTACGATTTTTTTTATTTCAATGTTATTTCAATAATTTAGCACTTAAATATCTAATTCTACAAACCAGAGAGATTCTATTTATGCCAGAGAAGAAAGGGTTTCCGTTCGGCTATATTCCTTCAGTTATAGGAAAGATGATGTTCCTGCGGATGGAACAATATATTGCTTTGATTGCTTCAATATATAAAATTGTTCCAACAACTCACCTCAAACCGAGCCTCAAACAGTAAAACTAATTGATTTAATTCAATCTCCGATGGGATGATCCTGCAGGATTGCATTCTCAGTTTGAATCTTGTAAAAATATTGTTAATATTATTTGTTGATGTTTTGCTGGGGGCAACATATTTTTAATTTTGAAGAAATCTCAATAATTTTGCATTTAAAAATTAGGATTTACTTACCATTCTTACCAGCGCTACTTTTCTGTTCATATTTGCTTTCTGTTATTGAATAAAGCGATTACAATAACACGTAAAACATAGTTTTCTTATCACAAACTTGAAAATATATGCAGTTTGACAGATGATCTCAAGATCACCGCTACGATTACAGCGCCGCGGTGGCTGGCATAAACTTGGATTCGTCATATCACATTTTTTCCTTGTTTCAAGATCATCCTCGGTAGACAAAGCCGAGTCTTGTCACTATCAACAAGGCATAAAAAGTAACAAAGACTAATATGTGTTCCTTTGATTACTGAAAAATCCTGTTCCACTAGTTTGAAGTAGTCAGGACTAGGAATCGGTGGTAGATCTTACACACTTAGAAATTTTTACGGCAATCTGTAAAATTTTACCGAAAGCTCAACAGCTGAACGTTCGGTAAACAGTTTCGCTGATTTCCTGTAATTTTTCACAAATATCTGTGAATTTTTCACAGATATCTGTAAATAATTACAGGAAAACTGTAAAATTGTTTACCAAACATTCAGCTGTTGAGGTTTCGGTAAAAAATTTCAGAAATCTGTAAAATAATCTTATACCATGGACAGACTATAGTAGAATCCAAGTGAAATTTATGCGTCACTAGTGGCGGGAAATAGTACTAGTCGATGGTGATAAATTTATGGCAGCCGGTTTAAATTCCAGAGTTTGAATGATAAATTATTGAAAAAAGAGTTCAAAATAGTGAGACACGAGCATTACTATGGATGATACATGTAGGAAATTTGTCGAATAATGTAATGTTATATTAATTTTCATTGCAATGTCATTGAAAGATAATGAAAATGCGTTTTTTGATGCACCTATATTATTTAGGTTATGTTTTGTATGATTGAAATCGACGTCCAAGTCAGCCTGCTGGATATACTGGATGATGTTGAGGACTCCGTGCTAGCGGATTTAGAGACCTAGCATATTGTGTGCCTGGGCTACACCAGTGGATCAGCAGCAAAGCAAGAATTGAGGGGAATGGATTTGTTCTGCAAAGTTCCCATCCCGGGGAGCGGCCACATGAAATTAATCTCAAATTACCCCCCCGACAACAAACTTTGGAACTTAAATTCTTCTGATCCGTAAACAGTGGCAACCTTTCTCTACTGCACGAATTTGTTGCTCCCCGGATTCGGAACTCGAAAAAGTTGAAATTTGTTCTCGTTGCATCCCGGGATAATGCAACGATCCTGCAACAACAATGAGAATGTTAAGCGGTGGAGCTTGTGTTTACGTAGTCTAAAAATTCAACTATTTTTCTGGTTGCAAGCAGTGATATCATTGTAGTCATTTGTCACTTTGAAGAAGGACACTTTTCCTACAATTCTACAAGCTTTTTGACTACCAAAAACGTACCAAGACAAGACAAATTTTCAATTTAAAAAGTGAAAATTCTGATGTGAGTCACGTTTGACAGATGTTTACATTTTAATCACCGCTACGACAACAGCGCCACGGGTGGCCGATAATTGGTTGGATTTTACTATTGCTTATATCATGTAATATAAGCTATCTTGCAATGAGCACTCATACATCTAGTTTTCACTGGAAATCCTATGTATGAGTGCTCATTGCAAGACAGCCTATATTACATGATATAAGCCATAGTCTGTCCAGGGTATTAGCCTCGGTATTAGCAACAATCAATACGAAACTAACGATTTTAAATTGGCTCACCACTTTAGTAGCCTATTGGTCCCAAGCAAACGATTAACGTACCCTATTCTAGTTGAAATTCTATTACTACACTATGTTTGTTTTGATTCGCTATGAAAGTTTGACAGATAACATCAGGGGTGTGTGGATTCATGCAGAACATGCAGGGGTGAGTGAAATAGCTTGGGACTGCTTGGGACCGTTGTTCTGGTACTGAGTGAGCCAAAAATAATAATGATTTTCTTCGGGACCCAGTGGTCTTAGAGTTACCTCTATGGTATTAGCATAGAGGTAACTCTAAGACCACTGGGTCCCGAAGAAAATCATTATTATTTTTGGCTCACTCAGTACCAGAACAACGGTCCCAAGCAGTCCCAAGCTATTTCACTCACCCCTGCATGTTCTGCATGAATCCACACACCCCTGATGTTATCTGTCAAACTTTCATAGCGAATCAAAACAAACATAGTGTAGTAATAGAATTTCAACTAGAATAGGGTACGTTAATCGTTTGCTTGGGACCAATAGGCTACTAAAGTGGTGAGCCAATTTAAAATCGTTAGTTTCGTATTGATTGTTGGTATTAGCACCGACAAACCGACATGAATGACCATAGCCAAAACAATAAAATTTGTGACCAAAGCACACTTATGACATCTGGCTCCGGTTTCGCGGGAAATATTTACATAAGCCATGAACCCGCATGCAAAAGTTATGAATTGGTTCGTGTCTGATCTATTCTGGACACATTATTTTTATCTAGATCAAACAATCCTATGGTTTTGACAGTTCGGATCACTGCACATTTAAATCGACCGTTTACGATTTTCGGGCATATGTTAGAATTAAGTGTCATGTCGGTTTGTCGGTGGTATTAGTGTATACATTCCGTAACCTACCACGAAAAGGTGATCTACCCACGTTACGGGGTAGACCAAACATCAAACTATAAGAGATGTTTAAAGGTTTGACAGATTGTGGAAATGGAAAGTTTTATGAAAGCTCACTTATTGCTTTTGGAAACGAGCGTTCAGCAGATAAAAACTTGGTTGAAATGAAAGCGAGTTCGGTTTAGCACAAATCTTTACTTGTCAACTCAAAATTCAAAAAGCCTTCGGAGGTCTTATTCAATTTTAACAGATTTTAACATGTCTTCAAAAATCTCCACAAAATATGAAATCCCGAGTAACATTTGAAATGGGCCTATGTCCAAAACGTAAACAAATCAGGGTTTGATACCATTCTTTAGCACCGCTTGATAGCTTCTAATCGTGTAGGAAAGTTCCGCATAATCGAGAAAAATCATTAAAAATAACTCGATTTTCGAAACGGCCGATCAACAAAATTTTTCGATTCATTAATTCAGTGCCAACATTTCAAAGGGGCGTAATTGCATTTGTAAACAATGGCTTTAGCCGACGATATCTCGCGAATAAAAGCTCACTTATGAAAAATAATGACACCAATAGGTAGAGGAATATTTCCCCTACCATCTAGCATTGTTATTTTGAAGGAGTGAGCTTTAAGATGTGAGAAATCGACAGCTAAAGCCATTGTTTACAAAAGCAGTTACGCCCCTTTGAAATGTTGGCACTGAATTGATGAATTTACGTTACGATCGACCAGCAGATGGAAATGATGAGAAAATGATAATGACGTTTTGCTACCTGTCAAATCGTATGAATTTTTTTTAATACAGCATCACTTTTGTGGTTTTGGATTTCAAACCTAGGTGTCGCATGCACTGGTGCAGTTTCGCCACAGAGAAGAGACGTTCAAGTTCGGTCAGAAACTTGTGTAAAATAAGTGGGAACGTCGCCGTTACGTGGTGTTAGCATCTCCTGATTTTCTCTATAAATTTTCCACTTTCGACCAATTTGGCGCTAGTATCGATAAATTTTTTGTTGAAAATTGCCACTTGGCGCTACTAGCACTTAGTGTCTAGTGTAATTTGTGCAACGCCAGCGCCATCATGTTGTCAAAGAGGGTTTTTAAGTGGGGAAGTCGCCGTTAGTGGCGCTTAAGTCGAATATGAATCTTTACACAAGTTTTTACATAAATTTTGTTCGAGCCTCCATGTCTGTTCTCTGTGGTTTCGCGTAGATTCATCAATAGGCCCACACGCTAAAATGGCCGATCATTCATTTATTTCATTTCATTGATAAGCCTAGTGACGTAGAAAAGGCTTAGCAAAGGGCGAACCATATCTGATGACAAATACAACGGCCTAACAAAAAGGGCCTATCCATTGAAAGATTAAAAAAAAGGCTTATTAATTTATTAAATTAAAATGTTATCGATTTTCATATATTTTTGAAAACTTTTGTATACTGTATACTGAGATACAGTTAATATTGTTATTATGAACAATATAAATGTCTAATATATTTCAATTTTCTTAAATAGGAATTGAATAGTGCCGGCAAAAATTTAAAATTCATTTTCTGGTTTGTTTACGTTTGGGACATAGGCCGATTTTAAATGTTACTCTAGAAATGTCTTAAAATTGTCTGCGGGAGAAAAATGGCATCCCTACGTGCGGGGCAAGAACGGCAAGAACGGCTTTTACTTTCTACGAACGACGTCAGACGGCGACCACATCGGTAAAAAGCTATCCGGTTCCCAGCTCCTAAATCCGCCACGGAGGACTTTATTTGTTGTGGCAGCAGTTGTTTTTGTTGTTGTTCCCTTTTTACAGAAGAAACGTCAAATCAGTTAGTGATGTGTCCAGCGACTAGTAATTTTTTTGAATTTCTCCTCAGCTCGTACGGGCAGTATTTTAGTGTCAATATGAATCTTTAGCTAAATTAGATGTTGAAACAAGAAATCGGAATTTATTCCAACATACAAGCGCGTGTACATCATGGAAGCCCTCTATTTTCAAACCAACAGCTTAATCCAAGAGACCCAGCAATGCTTTCAACAGCTCAGCAGCGTACGTGTCGATTCCGTCGCAGTGGAGGCGGATATCCAAACCAAACTGGTAGCGGTTAATGCGTACGATAATCCACCGGGTGCTTTAAATTTAATTATAACTAATTAAATGATAACATTGCAGCAACTGCGACCGGCTGGACGTCCTGCTGTACAAAGTGCCGGTAGCTCAGCGACAGAATGCCAAGATGCGTGTGGATCAACTCAAATACGACGTCCGGCATCTACAGGCCGCCCTGAAGTTGTACCAGGACAAGAAGGCTCGAAAGGAACTGGAACAGGTGGAAAGGGAAAATCTACTGAACAAGCGCTTCACGGCCAATTCGGAAACGTCAATCGACATCGATTACTCGCTGCAGCATCATAATTCGATGCAAAATGCCCACCGAGGGGTGGACGAAATGCTGTGGACCGGTTCGAACATACTGGACGGTCTGAAGAATCAACGGGACACCCTGAAGGGAGCGAAAAAGCGCATTCTGGACTTTGGAAATACGTTGGGACTTTCGAATCAGACCATGAAGATGATCGAACGAAGACTGGTCGAGGACAAGTACGTGATGGTCGGAGGAATGATTGTAACGCTGTTGATTATCGTACTGGTTATTTACTTTTTCGTATTTTAAAAATATTCACTAGATGGCTATAATACATTTAAGATACAAAAGTGGCTTAAGATTATCATGTAAGTTCATCGTCTTCTGGATCCGTTTGCGGAATGTATTTGCTCCATTTGGAAGAGGAAGCAGGGCTTTGAGTCTTTCCCGTTAGTGGTTCAGAATCTTGTAAGCACTCTTTGCTATCTGGTGTGGCTATTGGGGAGTTCAGCTCCAATTCAGGACGGTTAAAATAAGTCCATTTCGATTTTTTCTCATAGCTTATCATTGGTGATTGACCTGCTGTAAGTTCCGCAGAGTCCGATGTCCTTTTTAGAGCAATATTTTCTTTAGACTGTGAAGCATCTATGTCCTCCAATGTACTAGTTGTCGAACATGTGGATGCCTTTCGTTCAAAACTGAATAACGGTTTCTTATTTTCTTGAATTGTTTTACTGGACTGGATAGAAGAATTCGAGGCAAAATTAGATTGATTCAATTTTGTTGTTTGCCATTTAAATTGTTGCTTATCTTGTTTATCCATTTGATGAAAATCAGCCATCGGATTCGGAGCTAGCTTGGATGTTGTTGAAAGCTGATTTTTTTGATTAAATGCAAACGAATGTTTCGGATTTTCCGGGGATTTCAGATCATGATCGACCACGTTTCCTTTCCCCCAATACGCCCAAGAGCTACTTTCCGAACTAATTTTCCTAGTCAGTATATCACCTGCTTCATCTTCCTCATTCAAACAAAAGCTATTCCATTTGCTTTCCCGGTCGCCCACAATCTTCCTGTTTGCTTCATGACTCGCCACCAATCGGTCTGATTCCTCCCTGATTGGATTTTCAGCAACGGGCAATTCGATCTCACCTGCAAGCACCTGTTCGGCCACATACCGTTCCATCTGGTCTGCCTGCAGTGAACCGTCGCTGAGCTGCTGGACCAACAGCCGACATTCCCTACCGGAACCCCGGGCATACTCCTTCACGAGAGACTGCTGGGCACCGCACAATTTGCAGGTCCACTTTTTGGCCTTCTTCACGATGTCAGACTGTAATCGAATAATTTGGGCTGGAATTGAGACCGTTGGATTCAAAAATGAAACAGGGAAACTGACCTGAAATTTCCGACACTGGAAGCAGCACACCACTCGAAGTTCCTGGGGCATTGTCGCCTGACCACTGTTTCAAACGTCGTTGCTCAAAGATAAATGAAAAAAAACTACTTTTTTTACTACTTTGTTATGAGAATGATGTAAATAAATTTTGTTTTCAGAGAGGGGTAAGAATCTGCAGATGCACGGACCACGAACGACACGAAAAGATGGAACAACTCAAAATTGAGATAGAAAGTTTTTAAATAAGTCTAGATAGAGCTGGAATAAGGGCCAATGTCGCAATGGGCTTGAACTGAGAAAAATGAATCTGAAATTTTGAACAAGAATAATCATATATAAAATAAACTATAAACCCGTTTCAAAAACTGAAATATTTTTATATGTTGTGTTTCAAGGTTAGCATTATTGTCAGATAAACAAAAAAATGTTTCCGATTAAATTATAACGTGAAAAAATTAAAATGTTTCATGCGCCCTTTTGTTTGGTAACATCTTGTATAGCCCTGAGGTAATTCGCCCGTTTGCTTTGACAGAATCCATTTCGCCCCAGGGGGAACGACACTTCAGGATTATCCCATTTTTACCCAAACCTCTCATATAATTTTCAACGTGCACAAAATTTCAATCCATCCTATCTATTCTTTCTATTCCCAACTTATCCCTTCTGCATGCACACAAATTGTCAAGCAAGCCGTGCAGTTTTTCGAAGTTTTCAGGTCGACCGCGAAGCACTCTGCCAAACTCACTGTCAGTTTAGGCTGTGAACCATTTGCCAAGTTAAATTTAACTCGTGGTTAAAAGTGACATTTCAGGGGGAACGACACTTCAGGATTATCCCATTTTTACCCAAACCGCTCATATAATTTTCAACGTGCACAAAATTTCAATCCATCCTATCTATTCTTTCTATTCCCAACTTATCCCTTCTGCATGCACACAAATTGTCAAGCAAGCCGTGCAGTTTCTCGAAGTTTTCAGGTCGACCGCGAAGCACTCTGCCATACTCACTGTCAGTTTACAACACTCTCCACAACAAACACCAGGTATGTCAGCTGACCATGCCGGTAAAAAATCGGTGCGAAAACTAAAAAAAGATGACGGACCATTCGTCTATAATCGGTCTCGGGGGCAAAAAACCGAGCAAAAAACATCAAGTGCATCACGGAGGAGACGGCAACGCACATCCATTTCCCGGACTCAAACCGATCGAATTCGACGGATAAGAGCCCGGGTCTCTGTGTGTTGTAGCATGGAAGTTACCGAACAGGCGCGAAGCAACTGTTGATTTCGTTCGAACTGCTGATTCTAGCCCCGGAAAAGCCTTACCAATGAAACCCCCTACGACAAGCAGGTGGAAAAGGAATTCAGGTCGTTTTTTCCACTCGGCCCAAGTTTTACTCGTCTCTGCTGCTGGTCAAGGGTTCGGATAAGAAAGAGCTAATGGTGAAGTAAGACACCCACCGGGTGATGTATTTCTGTGCGAGAATATTGCGGATCAAATTCCCATCCAAATACAGCTGGGAATATTAACTGGAACCTTGTAATCCATCGCCATCACCCGTTCATCCTACTGTGCAGTTTCGACCTTTTCGGTGCGGAACCGTTTTCTGCACTTGAGCTGTGAGCTTTGATTATTATAGTTGGGCGGTGTCCCGAGCGGTGTCCATTAATTCCGTTTTGCTAAAAATCAATATGTTTGACCCCCCCCCCCCCTTTGGAACAAAACGGTACACTGAAAATGACCCCCCTCTATTTATTACGCAACGCTCTATAAACCCCCCTCCCTCGCCTTTTCATTTAATTAATGTATGATTTCGTTTTGTATTTTTTTATTTTTAGGTAATTAATTATATTATTAATATTCAAAACAAAAACAAAAGATCAGCGTACCATCGTGTACCTCCTTTTCAAAAGTTCAAGATAGCAAAAATCTCAATTTATAAAATTAAAACAGATCCATTTTGTAAAGCAAGATTTAGTGATGATAGCCTTCGTTGTCGTTGCCAAAAGCGTCAAAAAAGACCTGTATTTTCAAACTTTACATCAAGAAACGAAAAAAAAACAAAATGTTCTCTTTTTTACGCAACGCAAAGCTTTACTACTCCTCCCCTATGTATAATTCGTAACGATATAGGTGACTCCCTCTCCCCCTATAAGCGTTACGTAATTCATGGACGCTTCATTGCAGCAAATTTTTCTTCTTTTTACGCCTATCCTCTTCGCGTTCAGACTCGTATCCCTCTGAAATTTTTTAACATCCCTCACATCACATCAATTGCCTGATCTATTCCCATCTATTTTTTCTATCCCTGCTCTATTTTCGTCAACACGACACACTCAAAAAAATCCCATCAATTATGTTTTTCCCCGAAAATCCCAAGTAATTACTAGACTGAAAAAATACATCCAAATGAGTGTCGTTCCCCCTGTGACATTTCGAAAGTTATTTTCTATGTTCGAAAATCCCCGTGCTGTCGATCGACCGGTTTTCGAGCCACGGTTGTCAAAATTTAACTTCTTGTCTGTCAGAAATAACCATGCTCGGATAGCAGGGTTAATCGATAACTTTTCATCTGTCAAATTTTAACCAAAAGTTAAAATAATCCACCAAATGGTTCAGAGCCTTACAACACTCTCCACAACAAACACCACGTATGTCAGCTGGCCATGCCGGTAAAAAATCGGTGCGAAAACTAAAAAAAGATGACGGACCACTCGTCTATAATCGGTCTCGGGGGCAAAAAACATCAAGTGCATCACGGAGGAGACGGCAACGCACATCCCGGACTCAAACCGATCGAATTCGACGGATAAGAGCCCGGCTCTGTGTGTTGTAGCATGGAAGTTGCCGAACAGGCGCGAAGCAACTGTTGATTTCGTTCAGCTGATTCTAGCCCCGGGAAAAGCCTCACCAATGAAACCCCATACGACAAGCAGGTGGAAAAGGAATTCAGGTCATTTTTTCCACTCTGCCCAAGTTTTACTCGTCTCTGCTGCTGGTCAAGGGTTAATGGTGAAGTAAGACACCCACCGGCTGTGCGAAAATATTGCGAATCAAATTCCCGTCCAAATGCAGCTGGGAATATTAACCGGAACCTTGTAATCCATCGCCATCACCCGTTCCTCCTAGTTTGCAGTTTCGACCTATTCGGTGCGGAATCATTTTCTGCACTTGAGCTGTGAGCTTTGGTTATTATAGTTGGGCGGTGTCCCGAGCGGTGTCCATTAATTCTGTTTTGCTAAAAATGAATATTTTTGACCCCCCCCCCCGTTTGGAACAAAACTTTACACTGAAAATGACCCCTCTCTATTTATTACGTAACGCTTTATAAACCCCTCCCCCCCGCCTTTTCATTTAATTAATTTTTGATTTCGTTTTGTAGCAAAAATCACAATTTATAAAATTAAAACAGATCCATTTTGCAAAGCAAGATTTAAGGCCGGCCCACAATAGATACGTTTTCAGGTTTTTTGACAGTTAGCCCATGCATTATCTGTCAAAAAACCCGAAAACGTATCTATTGTGCACCGGCCTTTAGTGATGACAGCCTTCGTTGTTGTACAAAAAACGTCTAAAAAGACCTGTATTTTCAAACTTTACATCAAGAAACGAAAAAAAAACAAAATGTTCTCTTTGTTCCGTAGCGCAAAGCTTTACTACTCCTCCCCTATGCATAATTCGTAACGATATAGGTGACACCCTCTCCCCCTATAAGCGTTACGTAATTCATGGACGCTTCATTGCAGCAAATTTTTCTTCTTTTTACACCTACACGGTAACCAGCGTAAACACATAAATGAGTAAAAAAATACACATTTTTTATATTTATATGCAGCTGTCAAAAAATGTGTAAATTTGGAGATCCTAAAATGTGTATACAAATACACATTTTAAGAATGTAGTACCAGTCAAAAAATGTGTATTTTTATACTCATTAATGGGTAAAAAAAAACTTCAAACTTTGCTGCATCCTACTTTGTTGACGCACGCCATTTGCTAAATTTCAGTGAAGAACAGCAGGAAAATTGAGGAACTACGGTCCAAACTGGACAGTGCGCAACGATGGACATGCTAGAGGGTAGGTGATTTATGTTTTTTTCATAGCTGTTAGTTTTAGTTTAATTTATATACTTCATATACTGATTTTTGTTTTTCTTCCCTTGATTTGTTTCCCGTGCTGAGCATCAATGCTACCGACGCCAGGGAGGAATCTCCCATACCTGGACCCTACCTATCGACCCATCAACTCATGAACCGGAGACCAATGGCTTCACTTCCCTTCCGAAGGGAGGCGTGATCCTCGGTGCGATCAGAGATGTTATGCCTCAGAACATCCCGGCAGCGTCGACTGGGATTGAGAGGAAATCACGCTTACCAACACCTCCGGCGCCGCTACTTATTTTTGTTGATTACATTTCTGTTTTTAATAAAATATATACAATAATCGAGCAATCTTTAATTTACCATTGACACAAATAAGAAAATTCCGAAGTTAATAAAAAACCATGAGCACCCATTATATTTAAGTTCTAGAAATGATTACTTTTTACACATTTTGCTGTAAAAACCGTTCTTGAAAAATGTGTAAAAAATACACTTCTTTTGACGTTTGCTGGGTTTACACATAAATGTGTAAACGCAGTTTACACATTTTATGAGTAGGCCCCTTTTTTCACGAAATGTGTGAAATTTTACACATTAATGTGTTTACGCTGGTTACCGTGTATCCTCTTCGCATTCAGACTCGCATCCCTCTGAAATTTTTTAACACCCCTCACATCACATCAATTGCTTGATCTATTCCCATCTATTTTTTTCTATCCCTGCTCATTTTCGTCATCACGACACACTCAAAAAAATCCCATCAATTATGTTTTTCCCCGAAAATCCCAAGTAATTACTTGACTGAAAAAATACATCCAAATGAGTGTCGTTCCCCCTGTTTCGCCCCTATGTTTTCGCCCGCTTGTTTTTGACATGGTCTGTATCGCCTTAATGTTTACGTTCTTTTTCTTGATGGTTTGTTGGTATCGACCTTTTGGCTCTTAGTTAGCACGAAGCCGGCAAAT